TTTTCCATCGCCCTCAGATGGGTGCCTCTCCGTGCCTTTCACTCCAGTTTCCCAGCTGAGGACGTACTATTGATTTCTATAGTGTCATGATATTATATTCAGTGTTACTCTCTACGCCTTTCATAATACACCCTTCTATCTTGTTGCTCTTCTGAGCTCCGTTGCAATCAGCCAGATGTTTCATTGACTCCTAGATCTTTTCCTGGAGTGGTTGCAGTTAATTGGGACCCTTCAGCGTGTATGAGCCATCCTGTTCCCTCCTTCCAATCACGCCTCCTTCTGCGCGCTGGTTTTTGTCTGCTACCCCCTCACCCATTCAGCCAGCGTGGGTAGGTCTCACAGAAGACCTACATGGTCTCCGCACGTCTGGACTAGCCAAGCTGAAGGTGATCACATAGAAATGCTCTTAGCTCCCTGCTTTCCGGGTCATGGTTATTATATAAGAAAAATCAGCTTCTGTGGGCAGAGGCACCCCCATTGCTACCCTCATTCCCCATTAAAACCTCACCATATACTCCTGCTCCTTTTTTTCTCCTCCACTGCCAGATTTTTAAGCCCCAAATGACTTCATTTTTCACTAGTAATTCCTGGTCATCTCTGCCACAGACACTCATTGAAGATTTTTCTTCAAGACTTTCTGAAAGAACTAAATCATGACAGTTACTTTCCTCCCCCCTGCTGCTGTGTGAGCTAGCAGACTAAAGACACGCTCTTTTCTTGCACCAACGTCATTCCTGTTTGCTCCTCTCCCAACTCAACTCACCGCACCAGTGCATCCTCCTCTATGGAGTGATTCTTTTAAGCAAGGCACGAGGATACAGAGGACAAATCAGCTGTTATCCCCCTTATTGTCTCCAGTGGTGGCCCAGGCACCCTCATTTCCTGATCACTGAGGTTTTCGCAGCTCTGGTGCCTCATGGTCTCTGCTCTGCTCCGTGCAGAGGACTGCTGATATTATGCATTGCAGTGGGTGATGGACAAACACTTGCACCCAGAGAAGTCTGGGCATGCAAACAAGTTTTGTGAACAAAAAGGTGCCTATCAGACAGGCGGTGAGGATGCCAAAGGGGTGCTTGCACCAATCACACCCCCTTTGCAACTCTAGTGCAGTCTTTCCTCAGTTTGGGATTACAACCCAAAGGAATTTGAACTGTACTGGAAAAATCAGCATTAACCACCAGCAGCCCAGCTACTCCATGGCTGGGGAAGGAGAAGAGCCTGTAATTGCTGGCTGCAAGTGTTTGCACTGGCCAGGGAACTGCAAATTGCCTTTAATTGCTCCTAATTGCTGGCACTGGTTCAGTTCCTCCGGGACAGGGACGGCCAATGTACATCTGCAGACACTGCTTAGACCACCTCCTGCCTCCCCGCGCCAGGAGGGTTGAGTTGCTGCTGATTCGGAGAGTTTTCTGGAAGATAGAAAAGTCAAAATGAGGTCAGGCATTCAAGGAGCCGGAGCACTGCTGCCCAAGGCAGTCGTCCCGGACTTGCAGGCTCCTGTGCTGCAACAAAGAGTTGGGGACCGGTGGCAGAAAGCACATCCCTACTCCCAGAGAGGATTTACCCCACGGCGTGTCGAGGGAGCTATCAGCAATCAGCCAGGGGTTTCTCCTGGTGAGGTCCTGGACCAAGGGCTGGCGATTCCCAGCTCCTCCGCCACTGGTCTACTCTGTAACCTTGAGCACATCACGCGTGCCCATGGAGACACGGCTAACACCCGTGCTGCAGAGCCCTCGAAGGAGCCTGGCCTGGGGAGAGAGTAGACAACCTCAGACAGATACGGCTGTAAAAATAACCACGGCAGCTTTGGACAAGCTGTGGTGAGGCATTACCTCATGAGGGAAGGAAGCAGCAGCATCACTATTTATTTATGTGGTGTCCAAAAGAGCGCTCTGTGTTCTGCAGCCCGTCCTCCAAGAGCCTGATTCTGTAAATCTTACTCCTCACGAAGGCTTTTTTTCCTTTTTTTTCCTCTTTTTTTTTTTTTTCATCTCTCATCCAAGCGGTCCCACTGAAATCAGTGCAATCCGTTCACATGGGGGAGGATTACTCACAGGATGGGGGTTTGCAGGCGATGCCTGAAACGAGCACGCGCAGCCCCAGAGGGGACGCCTGAAACATGAGGCATGTTCCTCCCCATCCTCCTGCCCTTTGCCTCTTCTTGTGTAACCCTTCCCTGATTTGCTTATTTTTGTATTAACTCCTGCCTCTCTGCTCTTCTTTAACTCTTTTCTGTCCTGTTCCTTCTTCAGGCTCTTGCTTAATGTATTTTTATTTCCTCTTCCCCAGCAATATTGAGGCCATCCCTTGGGGCTGCAGCATGCAGGTTTTCCCACCTAAATGTCTCTCTGCTCTCTGTGCTCATCACCAGCCACACCGATCTAATGCTAAAACTTTTCCAATCAAAACTGAGCTTGATAGAAAAGCAAGTTTTCCACCTTGGGCAGGTTTGCAAGTGGCTTGTTCCCAGAGGCAGCTCAAGGCCGGGGGAGAGTAGGACTTTTAATCAAAAACCCCAAATCAGAAGTGCTAGGGAAGGAGGAGAAAAGAAGTAAAACTTTGATGCTGGGTTGTTTTTTTTTTCCCTCCCATGTGAAAAATCATCAGGTTTTGGCAAGGCTTGGTCTCTTCCCGTCCAGCACTGGCAGAGCCAGGGGACAGCGGCAGTTTGCTCATGCTCTGGGGTGGGCTGCGTGGGGATGGGATGCCCCGTGCAGCGAGAAGGGGACATCCCAGTGCAGGGGGGCTCCAAGCACCATCCAAACCCTGCTGAGAGGAAGACCAGCCTGGGAGCTGCTGCCCAGTAAAGATCAAACTGGGGGATGCTGGTGCAGGGAGCAGAAGCAGGATGGTGCTGGGGCAGGTTGGAAGGAAGCTCCAGCCAAACACCAAAACTTGGACAGCCAACACAAATGAACACGGGATGTAATCTGCCGTCCCCAAATGAGGCAGATTTAGGGTGTCTCAGAGCCGGGGGAGGGGTGCGAGACAAACCAAGAAGCCTTGCAGGGTCTAGCACAAACCCTCATGGGAGTGATATGCTCAGTTTGGGGGATTTGGGGGTGTTTGAAAGCCAAGCCCAGCCGCTGGAGCCCATGGAGACACTCGAACTGGTCCTGACCCACAGACCAGCCCCCTCCAGGTTTTGGGCAGTGGGGGCAGGGGGCAAAATTAACTCTATCCCAGCCAAAACCAGGACAAGCAGGTTTTCCCCCAGACCCTCTTTCTGGCAGGCAGCTCCCCTGAGGGGCAGAAGGAGAGCAGGATCAGTGCTCCCCAGGGAGGGTTTTGGCTGGCTCCTTCCCGAGGATGCTGCACAAGAAAAGGAAAGCTTTCCTGCCTTTCCCTGCCACCACTCAGCAGGGGCAGACCACAGTCTGGCACGGCGCTTGCAGCTCTTAGAAATCAGGGCTGTTAACAAATGTGTGAGGCCATAATCCTTTTGGAGCAGTGATGATAACAAGCCCCGATGCTTTTTTTTTTTTTGGCTTTTTTTTTTTTTTTTTTTTAACAAACAGCTGCGCCGGTAAGTCCCACTGTGGGAAATGAGATGGTGAATGATTTCAAGTGCAGTATTTACATCCCCTGCCAAACCCTTCACATCTGCCCAGCTCTGCCATCAAGCCTCCATCCATCTGGCCGGGAACAGCAGGTCCTCCAGCCTGCCTGCATCCCACAAGGGCATTTCCTTCCTGCGTCCGCAGTGCCAGCTGCCAGGGATGCTGCTCAGCAGGGAAGGGCTCGAGTGAAAGCACTGAAAGGAGGGTGGTTGGGTTGTTTTTTTTTTTGTAGTGCACGTGAAATGAATTCCCAACATCTCTGAAAGCAATTGCTTCCTGCCTGAGATCTCGTGTGCTGAAGGGGTGATGAAATGCTCCTTGATTTTGTACCTCTTCCTTACAGCCCCGCCACTGCTCCAGGGAGCCCAAGGGAGTTTGAAGCTGGCTGGGGTGGGGGCAGCAGGTGCTGTGGCTCCCGGAGTCCTCCGGCGGTGCTGCCTTTCCTGCTCCCCTCCTCTTCAAGTCCTGCAAACTCTTGATCACAGCACCCATGGGATGAGGCAGTTGCAGTGTCCATGGGTGGGTATCCTTGAGCGGGGACACCCCATGCTGCCTCCCCAGATCTGTAGAGCACTCATTGCCCTGGGCAAGACGTCCTGGCTGCAGTTCCATCTCTCCAGCAGGACTGGCTGTGTCTGGGCCATCACCTCTCCGGTGCTATCCCCTCTGCACCCAAGCAATGTCCACGCGCACCCCCTCTGCCACATCACACCT